CAGCAGTCACAAGTGTGTTTGTCAAGCCATCCAGCAACTGAAGGCAGAGAGAGCTTCTCAAGGAATACGTGGTGATGGTTATGCATTTGTCAGTCATCTTACACCTACGCAGCAGTTAACATTAGCCAGGCTTGTTGGTTTGAAGTGTAAATTGTTGTCTATGTTGAGTGCTGGTGACTGTTGAGGTATTTCATAAGTAGGTTGAGGTATTGTGGGATACAGGGACTCAGGTGTTCATAGTATCAAAGAGTTGGTTTAGTAAGGATCTACCATTATTAGAGTTAAGGAAGATTGAAGAGATGTTAGGAAGGGTGAAGGATTGGACTTAAGAGCAGCAAAAGGTTTTGTAATACCTTTCATAGGATTGGCGGAAGTAGAATTCCAACTTATCTCTGACGTTCAAACGTCTGTATTTCTTACACCTTTGGAAGTGGTTAGGAAAGATACAAGCCAGAGTGAGAAAGAGACCGTCTAACAGAGAATTAGTAGTGTCCAGGAAAGTTCTCGCAGGAGAGTCATGTTGGTGTCATTAGTAATGACCAAAAGAGAGACAAGACGTCTTTAAAGACGCCACAAGTGAAACTAGGTGACCTTACTGAGAGCCAGCGAAAGATAGCGATGGAAATGATGACTGACGAAGCCGAATCATTTGCTCAGAATGATGATGATGTGGGATGTATTGAGGGACTGCAATTGAATTTAGAGCTATCAGGCACCTCCCTAGTTCAGAAGACGTGTACTTCTATACTCCGCCCGATGTATGCAGAAGTCAAGCATTACATTGAAGACTTGATTACATGCTTGCTACTCCTCACCAGTTGCATGTGAAGTATGGTTGTTGTGAAGAATTGTTAACAAGTTAGGGCACACCATTGATCCCAGGAACACTGAAGCTGTCACCAATCCAGCAGACTCTAATACAAGGACTGTTGGAAACGTTCGATAAAATTAACAGGTCTGTTGAAATACTTTCGCAGATATATTGAGCAGTTTTCAAGGATTGCAAAGCTTCTCAATGATATTGTTAAGGAGCCTGAAATGAAATGGCTATTCAATGTCAGAGAGCAACAGGGGAACGTCACAATTTTCAAATGCAAAGAGGCCGGTATCATTCCGTGATATGCGACCACCAACAAGTCCGCTAGAACAATAGCCAACAAACAATGAATTTATATTAAGGTTTGGGTTTCCTTCCAGAATTTAGCACGACTAAGCAGGTGAATTTGCAAATTAGCTTTTCCATCGTTTAGAAGAATGCTGTGGTATGGTGCCATCCAAAACAACACCCTACCATTCTAAGGGAATGGGAAAAAAGAGAGACTCAACCAGACACTTCTTTCCATGTTACGCACCTCGCCAGAAAACCAGAAATCTCGGTGGAAGGACAGTCTTAATAAAGTTATGCATGCCTATTATTGCACCTGTGATGAGGCCACTGGATTCTGTCATTATTACCTGTTGTGTGGTCAGTCCCCAAGACTTCCGATTGATCCTATTTTCGAATTAAGCCTGCTTCTCCCACAGAATATTTAGCTCATGTCAGAGAATGGAAAACAGCCATGAAAGAGGCTCACGAGTTAGCAACAAATATATGTAGATTAGCTGGGACGAAAGGAAAGAAGCATTATGAGGGCAAGGACCACAGTCCTGTTCTACTGCCAGGTAACAGAGTCAGTAACAAATAAACGTGAAAATTACGATCTGGAAAATTACGATCTTACTGGGAAGAGGCAATTTATCGAATAATCAAGCGGAAAGGAGAAGGGAGCCCATTTACGAAGTTGAACCTGAATCAGGCGAAGGACTGCGCCGCGTGATACACAGCAGTCTAAGACTTCCATGCAATGACTTAACCTTTGAAAGAAAGACAGAGGATCCAGCCAGGAGGCCGAAGCAGAAGATTACCAGACCAGCTCTTTTGCCCACCCCCAGCCCTGCCTCAGAAACCAGTTCAGATGAAGAGGCTTAGGGTATGCTGACCTTAACAGCAGTGGGAAAAGGGACTGCTCGACATCAGAAACCTGTGGTCGAGGATCCAGTGACAAATTATGAATTTTCCTAGCAGTCAGTTGAGCAAGAAATACCAGCACCCACAGAACCAGGAGATGAACGCAAGCAAGCAAAAGGATTTCGTAATTCTCTCATTGAGCATGTGCACAGCGTTAAAAAAATAATAATAATAAAATAAAAGAAATAAATAAAAGAAACCGAACGTGTCTAGATCAAAAAACCAGGAGATGAACGCAAGCAAGCAAAAGGATTTCGTAATTCTCTCATTGAGCATGTGCACAGCGTTAAAAAAATAATAATAATAAAATAAAAGAAATAAATAAAAGAAACCGAACGTGTCTAGATCAAAATTGGAAATAAACATTTACAGCACAGCACAGCACCGCTAATTTGATAAATAAAATATTTAGAAAAGAGAAGGATCTTCCCTCGCTTTCAAGTCGCACTGAAGTGTTAAAAAAGTTTTGAAGAAACTGTGCAACGCAAATATTCGTTAAAAGCAACCGAAAACGTAGGCGCAATGTAACGTTACATGTGCTCCCTCTTCCTCAGTGAATGTTTTAAAGCAACTGAAAAGTGCACGCGAAAGGTAACCTCCAAATAAAATTTCAAAACAAAGACGTAACTAAACATGAGCGAGCAGACTTTGAGAGGTTCAAATAAAATTAAAGTCCATATTCAGTCCAACTGCGTCTAGTGTCCGGCAGGTGAAGATCATTCTGCGTTTGAATATCATTCGGCATTTGATGGCATAAACCACGTTTTCGCTGACACAAGGAACGGTATGAAACACGCTGAGCGTGATGTATTGAGACGACAAAGTGCTATTGTGACGTTTTGAGAGGTTGTTATTAGATGCCATCGACCGTAGCCCCCTTCGGACACCTCATGTTATTTACACAACGTAGTTTTCCCCTTTAGTAATTAGGGTTAAGCACTACCTTTTACAGATTAGGGTTAATCACTGCCTTTTCTCAGTAAGGTTAAGCACTGTTTCCAAACTGGTTAGGTTCTTTTTTGGGGGGTCAGGGTTGGTGCCATCCTCGGAGACCCAGGGACAGTCAGTCGGGTCGGGAAAAAAGGCGGAACGAAAGAGCCCCTGGGTACCGACTTACAACGGACCATTTCCAAAAATTCAAGCGGATGCCGGCTCCTGATTGGGCACAAAAAATGCTTTGTATTATTGTGCCCAATCGGCGAACACATCTCAATGAGTTATTTTCGTGTGTTCTTACATGACGGCTATTGTCTCGATCACGGCTTGTTTGTTGTAGCTTATGCACCAAAGAAATGCACGGAGTCAGGAAACTTTCAGTTTGATATAAAATCCCCATCTGATTCAACTCGCTTACTTTGACAAATGCAAGCGAACTCTTCTGAACCATATCAAAGTTCATGAAGAGAGAATGAATTTTGATATTCTCGGGGCAAATTCAATTGCTCTTGCTGATAGTAACCCAAACGTTTATTCAACTCATCGGTAGTTCCTTTGTTTCTGGTTAGGAAAGTAGAAAATAAAAGTTTCCCTTGTACGCACAAGCTTGGTGAACGAACCGGGCAAGTGTGGCGAGACAATAGCCGTCGTGTACAAACTCACGAAAAGAACTCAGGAGAAATTGTTCGCCGATTAGGCACAATAATACAAAGCCTTTTTCGTGCCCAATCAGGAGCCGGCATCCGCTTGAATTTTTGGAAATAGTTCGGTGAGAGTCGGTACCCAGGGGCTCTTCTGCCCTTATTTGAAAACTTTCGTTGCGCCTTTATTCCCGACCCGACTGACTGCCCCTGGGTCTCCGAGGATGGGTTGGTGCTATATGTACTTAAATTATTTCCCCTCATTCCTACAAATCCTCAGTGGTTTAGTGTTTAGCATAGCATACTAGTGGGTCTTCTAGGTTGTGGGTTCGGATCCTACTGTCTACCATAATCATTTTTTTTGTTTTTTGTTTTAATTTTAAGTTGAAGAGACTAGCACTTTCACGAACATTTCCAGCTTGAAATATCATCTAAGTGTGATATAAAAGCAGAAAGAAGTTCTACCTTGAGCAAATTTCATATGTGGAGAAAGGGGCTCCGGCCAATGGGATCTAATGCTGACCGTTTCAAGATGACTCAGGGCAAGAACTCCGTACGGGTTAGGTCTGCCGCCTTGCTCGCTCGTTTCACAATCGCTCGCGCGGCGGCAAAATCGCAAAAGCGCACAAGGTATGTCTTGTTGCTAGAGTCCTCCATTTTTGTCTAGTCTTTTTGTTTTGCGATCGGCTTACATTTGTCAACGCTATCGGTTAAATTTAGAACAACCTCCTTGCTAGAAATGGTCTTCATTCGGCTAAAGCTTGATATCTTGTTTTTTTTTGTTTTGTTTGTTTTGTTTTTCATTTTTTTTATTCATCATTGTAGACATCAATGAATGTAAGGACGGATTACACAACTGTGGCGATGTGTCCAATTGTGAGAATACCCATGGATCTTTCAATTGCGTTTGCAAAATTGATACAAAATACAAAGGTAGGTGATACTGACATGAATTATAGCTGAGACCTAATTCTATTTTAGCAATGACTGAATAAGGCTGAGTGTGACGTGAAGAATTATGCAGATCGAGGTGGTGGATATTATCCACCGAGGCTGAAGGGGCAGTTTTTCACCATACGAAAGCAGAATTTGGTAATTATTTTTTATTCGTTCAAAGTATTTTAAGTCCTAAAAAAGGTTACCTCCTCGTAAACTTTCTTTAAAGCTTTGGCCTGTTTCTTGGCATGGTCTCATATAAACAGACGTCTTTTTTCGTGCAGAAACTCCGCAAAAGGTAGACAACATCCATCGAGTAATATGCAGTGTGTGACTCCTGTGTATTCTCCCTTTTTTTCGTCCATTCATCATTTAAAGTCAAAAAGTCAGCTATCTCCTCCTCGGATAGCTCTGAACGTCATGTTTTTCATTCACTCATGAATAAACAGCTCGGCGGCCGTGCCTGTATACGAGGTTGGTCGATGGTCTATTGCTTAAGCCGCCTCGTTTCCAGGCCAATATGTTGATCAATCTCGTCTCCAAACAAATACACTATTAACTCGATGGTGTATTGTTCTCATCTTCCATTATTTGGCATCGCAAAGAATGACGTGAGATATCCGAGAGCTTTAAGCACGCTCCGAGTGGCAGATTTGAAAGGATACCTTGTAGGCTTTAATATGTTGCTCGTAAGAAGATTTTACAACTGAATCCAAGAATTAAAACTTAGCCTTGTTTTATGTTGTGATCAGTTAAAATGGATCCAAATTTGAATGATTATCACATGATGGTCCCTCAAATGTCAGTTGAATATGAAGAATTAGCCTGGGGGATGAATGAATATTATTGAACTCTACATGTTGAGTTGTTTTATCGCCATTTTGTTTTTGTCATGTTTTCCTTCCCTTTTTCTTTATTCCCTACTTTCTATTTTTATGGATTGAGCGTAACATGTTCTTCAACTCTGCAACAAACCTTAATTAACCAAAATACAATAGAAGTTAGAAATAGTTTAGGTTTTGCATGCGGCTGACCCATCGTGAAATACAAAAACTCAAAAACAAAAAAAAAAAGAACAGATGTGTAGAGTTTTAAAAAGCAAATTAATTAATCGTTCCAAAATAATCTTCAGCAGATTCATCAGTAGCAAATGCTCTAAAGACGTCAACAGCATCATTAGCAAGTCAACTGTGTAGGTATTTGCTTGGGTCAAGATTAGCTGGAGCAAAGTGGATCCATCTATACCGTTTAGTACTTTCACAATAATGTTATATTCATTATTCCACATCTTTCCCTGACAAGCCTTTCTAATTTCACAAAAGTAACAACTTGTTCATCACGACATCATCACTGCTATTGTGGAAGATTAAAATCTTAGTATTTTTTTCTATAATATTTATTCTATTTGGCAAATGTATAAATAAAATAAAATTATTTGTTGTTAGCCAACTTCTTTATTTCATCAAACTCCTCAATAGTAAGGTGTTTAATAAATATAAAGAAGTTGGTTAACAAAAAAATAATTTTATTTTATTTATTACTGTTTTTTTAATTTATTTAATGAGATAACAAAACAAAATATATTAGAGCACGACTTCCAGTGAACAATATTTGAAATAATCGCGTCCCTCAGATGATCGTCTCTAATAATAATGAGGATGAGAATGGCAATCGCCCCCGGGCTATTATTCGAGGAAATGCGATACATCAAACCAACATTTATCGTGTTTCGGTGGAACCTCTTCGGGTCGAAGACAAATATAAATATACAAGATAAAAGCGCGGGACCTAGCTAACAAGTCCGTTAATTTGTCAACTAATTACAGAGCGTAACTGAGGTCAATTGATAGTATAGCTTGTTAAACTCTCTAAACCTAGATCTTCAAATTACCAGGAATTACGACAAACGGGTCCTGTGCCCACAACGGCTGGAGGGTTTCTTTGGTGTTTTATTCATTTGTTTTATTTTTATTTTTTCACTTTTTATTAATTGTGATCATCTCTCATTAAAGCGTATCTCTATCTTTGCGCATAATGAAACAATTTAACATTTTCTTTCTTTTTTCTCCAATTGTGCAGTGTCATCGCCAACTATGACAACTGTTTTAAGCCCATCAGCAGCATCATCGAGTTCTGTAACAACTGCCTCGATGCAGCCGACAAGTCGAGGTATGTTCTTAAAAGCGCTAGCACACCATATTCCAACATTTTCCATATAGCAGCAAGAAAGAAGTCTTAGGAAATCTGAACACATCATAGAATAATAATAATAATAAAACAAACAAACAGAAAACAAAAACAAACAAATAACAACAACAATAACATCAATTATCGGCTCTAGATCGGCTATAGACTGTTTTTCTCAATTGGAAAAGCACCGGCCCGCCCCCAAGCAGATGGACGTACCACCTAACCGGCCTTTGGTCTTCTAAAAAATTGGTATATGCGGACTGTAATTTTGATCATGTCGCAGTTCACATGATTTAACATTTTCCTTCTTTTTTTCTCCAATTATGCAGTGCCATCGCCACCTATGACAACTGTCATTAGCCCATCAGCAGCAACATCGAGTACATTAACAACTACCTCAATGCAGCCGACAAGTCCAGGTATGTTTTTAAAAGCATACCATATTCCAGCATGTTTATTAGCGCGAAGCGCGCGCGTGGGCGGAGCCCCATAGCTAAGGTAATCTACCCATCCCAGAAAATTTGGTAATCACGTGACCGTACACCGAACGAACGAAAGAACGTACGACCGTCCGTCCGCACCACAGGGAAACCAATGTTTACTCTTACACTTTCTAGCCAGTTTGGGAGCACAGGAGAAAACTAACTGCACATCAATGTTGTGATCAATTGACAGCTGTCAGAACAGGGTATCGGCTGACCAGTATCACCTGACCGTACCGCGGGCTCAATTGTCGACCCATCGAGGTCGAGTATTTTTTTGAAGTTATCCGTTGACAAATTACCAGTTTCAAATGATCGCAGGCTCAAGTTTATTTTTTCCAATGATTCATATGAAATATGTTGTGTTTATGTCACTATGGCCCCGCACTATTAAGATTTTGATTTCAAACTGACGCGAAAATTTAGCCAGTTTTTTAAAAATACAGGCGGGGAAGACCTTTTCTTACCATGGACACGCGTTGGTCAAGCTCTGCGCCCAATTTTTATGCTCTGATTGGTCAAAATTTGACACGTTAGTTCATGCGGAAAATTTATGCAGAATCTTGAAAGTTGTTTACTTTGACAGCTTGCGCTGAAGCTTACAGAGTTTTGTGTCAACTTGTCAGTGATGTTTTTAACTGTTTTATTCCGCTGGATGTACAAAATGAAATACAGCTGCTATCAAGAGTGTTCTGTTATTCATGGCTGGTTTGTTTATTCGGTTTCTGGTTGAGAATTGCGTCGCTTGTCAAAATTCGGTAATCCGATTTCAGATGGCATCGTTTTCGTCTTGCTTAATGCGTAAGAGGGTGTAAAAGTCTCAAGCAACTGTGGCCTTCCTTGATAGTTTTCAGGAACTGAATCTCGAATGGTAAGCCTGTTTGTTTTTGTTATATGTAATTTCATGAAGTCGAGCACAGTTTATGCGGCACGTTTATGCACGTTTGTAAGATTTGAGTCAATGATCTGACCTAGTGTCAGGTTTGATATAAGCTTACAGAACTTTAAAAGGCCTTCAGATATATTTTCTCACCGCAAATAGAAAGAAAACGTTCCGAAGAATATTTACTTATAAATTTGGCTGTAGAAAGAAACCTTCTTAGCGATTTTCTTGCTTCGAGGAGTTCATCTTTGAAAAAAGCAAACACCGGGAGGCCGGCTTAAAGTAAAACATAATTAACTTAAGCTTAAAGACTCAGGATTTTTAGACACACTTTAACACCTGTCTTCGTGAATGAAAATTGTTGCTTCTGTAAATGTTTCACCGAATTATATTTCTTTTATTGATTGTTAGTAGTCTCTCTTGCAATTTTAATCGCTTGTACGTGCCGTTTGTTTTCATTGTTCATGAACATCGCTTGCAGGAGTAGTCAAAAATGTCGCGCGTATCAAGCGCTTTATAAGATTCGCATCGAAATAACTGAAACCATTAAATAACAAAAAATAATAATAATAAATTCGTTATTATGTTGAAGCGTAACTATATTAAAGTTCATTCAAACACTCGACCACACTGACAGCTCGCACTAGAAATGAGAACCGGCTAGCCGTATGGGGGATTTTGGATTTTTTGAACGGTTTCGCTAAATGCCCACGATTAATCGTCCTGAATATTGACCAAGTGCAATTTGTCTTGAATAATTGTGAAATGCCGCATTCTGTCCGAGGTCTGTATGATAAATAGTATTTTTTCACCTCAGATGTGATGTATAAAGAATATAAAAGGTTGGTTTATACACCCCCAGATTTGTTGGCAAGAATTTGTAAAGTAAACCTATCGAACGCAAAAAAATCCGCCCTGATTTGTTTTCCAAGAATTTGTTTTCGAGGCCTAATCTACTGCGATCAAGAGCCATTATGGCTCTTGAATGTGATTGAAGATGTTTGCTATTTTTTGGGTGTACGTATAAGGCTATCAACTCGATGTAAGAAATAATTTAGCCTTTCCCTAAAAAGTCACATGAATGTGCCCTTAACTTAACTGATTTTTGTGGATCACAAGTTTATTGTTTGATTTAAATTAGAAATTTATTAATTGGAGCTTCGCTTTTAGCCCTGGCTAAATCTATATATTATTGCAACATGACAGAAGTCTTAGGAAATCTCAACACGTGATAGAATAATAATAATAATAACAATAATAATAATAATAATAATAATAATAATAATAAAAACAAACAAACAACTAAACAGAAAACCAAAAAAACAACAATAATATCAAGTGTCGGCTCTAGATCGGTTATAGACTGTTTTGCTCAATTGGAAAAGCACCGGCCCGCCCTCAAGCAGATGGACGTAGCATCTAACCGGCCTTTGGTCTTTCAAAAATCGGTATATGTGGACTGTGTTTTTGATCATGTCGCAGTTCACATGATTTAACATTTTCTTTCTTTTTTTCTCCAATTATGCAGTGCCATCGCCACCTATTACAACTGTCATTAGCCCATCAGCGGCAACATCGAGTACATTAACAACTACCTCAATGCAGCCGACAAGTCCAGGTATGTTCTTAAAAGCATACCATACCATACCATAAGCATATTGTTTGATTTAAATTATAGATTTATTAATTGGAGCTTCGCTTTTAGCCCTGGCTAAATCTATATACTATTGCAACATGAAAGAAGTCTTAGGAAATCTCAACACGTGATAGAATAATAATAATAATAATAATAATAATAATAATAAAAACAAACAAACAACTAAACAGAAAACCAAAAAAACAACAATAATATCAAGTATCGGCTCTAGATCGGTTATAGACTATTTTGCTTAATTGGACAAGCACCGGCCTGCCCCCAAGCAGATGGACGTGGGATCTAACCGGCCGTTGGTCTTTCAAAAATTGGTATGTGCGGGCTGTGTTTTGGATCATGTTGCAGTTCACATGATCGCGGCCTTAAGCGGTTACATTAAGCTGTCTCATGACTAAACACAGCAGTCCAGCTCGTGGGAAAAAACTTAGTTCGTCAAAAGAACTCGCTTGAAACTTGTATACCGTTTGACATAAGGTTCTAGAAAATACTAAACAGGCGAATAGTAGTAGCTTTTCGACATATTTTATGATTTCAGTAACTGATGCAAATCTGCTGACTTATGCTGAAATGTAAACATGCCTTAATTAATTATTCATGCATAATCCAAAACGTAGAGAACGTTCGAGAAAGTCACGCAACGCATGAAAGCAATTTTATTACGTAACACTCAACAAAGACAAAATGTCTTTGTGCAGCATTTGGTCACTTTAAATTCATCATAAAACAGTTCGAAAGGAGGGCTCACTCGTAAAATGTTTTTCAACACTCGAAGAGAAATTTCGTGTCTCTGCGCGGCCACGAAATATCCTCTATTTATTCCTCGAGTAATTAAAAACTAAACTCGAAGTGATCTCAAGATATCACGAAGTGGTTGAAACAAGCCGAAAAGTCACGAACTTGCACGCCCAATCTTGTCCCGAAACTAGTGCATCATTTCATAACTATTTTTCATATCCCAAACTACCCTGGGTCGCAGTAGCGCAATTGGCTAATCCCTCGACTTAGAGTCTCCTCTGATCTGACGGGTCACATAGGTGAGTCGGTTCAAACCCCGGGAAGGCCAAAATAGTAATTCTTTCTTCCTCGAAAAAGTTAAAGAATAAATAAAAGAAATCGAAGTGATCTCGAGATATCTCGGACTAATTCGGCTCTCACTTCGTCAAATAGCCGAATAGAGCCGAAAACCTACAGACTTTGCTTGCCCAATCTTGTCAAAAAATTGCATCTTTGATACATTCCTGAGCGGCGCGAATCCTTTACTTCGCGCTCCGCCGAAGTAATAACTGAAACCATTAAATAACAAAAAACAATAATAATAAATTCTTTATTATGTTGAAGCGTAACTCTATTAAAGTTCATTCAAACACTCGACCACACTGACAGCTCGCACTAGAAATGAGAACCGGCTGGCCGTATGGGGGATTTTGGATTTTTTGAACGGTTTCGCTAAATGCCCACGATTAATCGTCCTGAATATTGACCAAGTGCAATTTGTCTTGAAAAATTGTGAAATGCCGCATTCTGTCCGAGGTCTGTATGATAAATAGTATTTTTTCACCTCAGATGTGATGTATAAAGAATATAATAGGTTGGTTTATACACCCCCAGATTTGTTGGCAAGAATTTGTAAAGTAAACCTATCGAACGCAAAAAAATCCGGCCTGATTTGTTTTCCAAGAATTTGTTTTCGAGGCCTAGTCTACTGCGATCAAGAGCCGTTATGGCTCTTGAATGTGATTGAAGATGTTTGCTATTTTTTGGGTGTACATATAGGGCTATCAACTCGATGTAAGAAATAATTTAGCCTTTCCCTAAAAAGTCACATGAATGTGCCCTTAACTTAACTGATTTGTGGATCACAAGTTTATTGTTTGATTTAAATTAGAAATTTATTAATTGGAGCTTCGCTTTTAGCCCTGGCTAAATCTATATATTATTGCAACATGAAAGAAGTCTTAGGAAATCTCAACAAGTAATAGAATAATAATAATAATAAATATAATAATAATAATAATAATAATAATATTAATAATAATAATAAAAACAAACAAACAACTAAACAGAAAACCAAAAAAACAACAATAATATCAAGTGTCGGCTCTAGATCGGTTATAGACTGTTTTGCTCAATTGGAAAAGCACCGGCCCGCCCTCAAGTAGATGGACGTAGCATCAAACCGGCCTTTGGTCTTTCAAAAATCGGTATATGCGGACTGTGTTTTTGATCATGTCGCAGTTCACATGATTTAACATTTTCTTTCTTTTTTTCTCCAATTATGCAGTGCCATCGCCACCTATGACAACTGTCATTAGCCCATCAGCAGCAACATCGAGTACATTAACAACTACCTCAATGCAGCCGACAAGTCCAGGTATGTTCTTAAAAGCATACCATACCAT